TAGCCGTTATTCCTTGTTACTCCCAGTAGTGCTCGGGGAACAGGGACTCTCCCATTGCCTGATGGTCCCCTTGGCCAGTTTGTAGATGGCCACCAGATCCCCTCTCAGCCTTCTCTTGCGAAGGCTGAACAGGTTCAGGTCCCATAGCCTCTCCTCATAGGGCCTGCCCTGCTGCCCCCTGATCATGCGAGTGGCCCTCCTCTGGACCCTCTCCACGCTGTCCACATCCCTCCTGAAGTGCAGCGCCCAAAACTGGACGCAGTACTCCAGCTGCGGCCTGACCAGCGTCGCATAGTGGGGGAGGTTCACCACCTTGGACCTGCTAGAGATGCATCTGTGGGTGCATGATAAGGTGTGGTTAGCCTTCCTGACCGTGTCCTCACACTGTCGGCCCAGGTTCCTCTTGGAGTCAATAATGACTTCTAAAGTCAAGGTATATCATGTCCACTTCTCTTCCTGCATCCAGAGCCAGTCATCTTATCTGTCCCAAGCAAACACCCAAGGTCTGTGCCACAGTTTACCTTCAAGTTCTTCTCCAGCAGCTCCCAGGTTCAATGCTTGGCTGCTCTGGCAGTACAGACAGTATCCGTGGACCTAGACTGGACCTGATGCAACAGGCTCAAGAGGGCCTCTCCATAACAGGGACTTGGAAAACAAGCAGTTATCAAGCACAGGGTCTTGTCTCCTTCCCTGAATTTAAGTACTCTGATTTGAGTATAATAAAAAGTCTGATTGCTGATAGGAAATTTGGTTTAAAAGTATCTGACAGTTCTCATTCTCTACCCCCCACTAGGAGCAACCAATTTATAGCTTTTTCTTTTTTCATTTCACACTGAAATAAGGTGAGACTAGGGGTTTTTAAATCTCAAACATCAGCAGAGCTTCTAACTCCCCCTTTCCACCTTTCATTTCTCAACTTAATTAAAAAGCAGTCTGGATTCCTGTTCAGAGTCCATGTGCATATAACAATCCCAGGGTCATTTCAGTGTGAGTTACAATAAATAGTGTGTTTCTAGGAAGATTTTATATCTGAACTGTGGTCTCTAAAGACTTTGATTCTTCCTTTCCTACACACTTTATGTAAATTTTAGAGCTTCACTCAAATTAAAGCAAGAAAAGCAGGGAAGTTTCATTACAGCTCTGCCATTTTGGCCTCTTACTTTACTAAAACTTAATCCTTCCAGTTAGCTTGTTTCAGGTCAGAGAGGTAAAGAATAGATACTAGCAAGGTAATATAGCACACAGTAGGATCCAGTTCAAAGCCTGATTAAACAGATGCCTCCAGGAATGGACTTAAATCTACCATCCTCCTAAGAACACTGCAGATTTCTTCTATTATGTAGCCCACAGAATGAAGATATATTTAAAGAGATACAAGTTATAGTAGTTGGGAAATTTAATCAGATTCCATCCATACAGCATACGCTCAACCATAAATGTAATTTGAAGTGAGCAATGAATAGGGGTGGTGTGAAATGGGCCCTATGCAATTCCAATTCAGATTCGGCCTGAATCAGGGATGGAGATTCGATTAGCTGATTCAGATCACTGTCCCCAATCCGATTTGCCTGAATCCAAAGAGTTGATGCTGATTTGGAGAATCAGCGATTCCGACATAGACACAGATTTAAAAGTTATTTCTACGTACCTCCATGTACCAGCACGGCTTGTGAACGCTGCAATGCTGGGGTGCACGGAGCAACCCACTGGAGTGCGGGGTGGCCCTCTATGTGCTTGGCGGCAAACCCAGAAGGGGACTGGAAGTAATTCGGTTCCCCAGTGCCCCCATGGCTCAGCAATTGACCATGGGGGGACCTCGGGTGCCCCCCCCCCCGGAGGTACTAATCGCTAAGCCAGGGGTGTGGGGGGGGGCTTCTGGCCCATTTCCAGGTCTGCTGCCAAGTGCACTTGGGAGCCCCCCGCGCTTTTGTGGGACACTCTATGTGCCTCAGCATCACAGCACTCATGAGCCCCTGCTACCTAGAGGTATATAGAAAAAACATTTAAAGCTGCCTCTATGTCCGAATCTCTCCGAGTCTCTCCAAATTGATTTGGAGGGTTCCAATTCACTTCAGAGAAATTAAAGGGTCCTCTGATTCGATTCAGAGTCGGAGATTTGGGCACTGAATTGGGCCGAATCTCCACCAAATCGAATCAGGGACTGAAGCTTTACACAGCCCTAGCAATGAAAAGGCCTAGTACTTGCATCAGTAGCTCACAAAAGTACTTAAAGCAAAGCAAACAACAGCATCCTTGTTCCTGTACCCCCCAGATGTAGAAGCTGAGGTATACAGGGAGGACATGACTTCTATCAGTTCTCATCTATGTTTGTTTTCACTGAAGTTTAAGGTTTAGCTGAAAGTCTCCATCTGATCAGTGTTGCATGATATAATATTATTTCCAATTATTGACTGGAGCTAAAAGTGCTTCATTCCCAAGCTTGACATCTATACACAATAAGTCACCCCAAGATTCAAATTAGAGCTGGAAATCCACTACCGCACAAGAGAGCCGTATTTCATGTCAAGGTGTATAAATTAGTGCTTCTGTCAGCTCTGCTTGAATCTGAATGGTCACTGACCACCTCCAATAAATTAAGGGCCATGTTACTAGCTGGCTGAAAACTATCAAGGTTATCTATGGCCAAGATGCATAGCCTCCAGAATACTGCATTCACAAAAGAGATTTTATAACCTTGTGGTTGAAGAAGACTAAGGGGAATCCCAGACTAGCAAGTTACATACTTTGAAAACACTACAAATCTGTACTGTATACAATTTTATTAGGTTTTAAAGTGTTACAGTGGAGCAAATCATTTTTGAAAAAATGTAGGCATGTGTCTCATCCTTGATTCGATGCATACATGAACCACTTATATTTTAATTCATAACCAATTTATGCATATTGAATAAGTATTAAAATGTTTTCATGATCTATGAAATACATTATTGACGAGGAACTGAACAGATTTCACTGGACCCAAAACAGAAAGAGACAGCGACTGCAAAGCAGTATTTCAAGAGGTAAAAAGGGTGAACACTGCTTAAACATGCATGTAAAACACCACTTAACCAACTTTACTGCAAGACTTCTCAGCTATAATCTCAGCAATCTGTTTTTTTAAGAATACAAGTAGACACACCAGTAAGGTTTATGGTCTTGACTGCAATCTGGGTTGCAAGGCACCTAGGACTTCTGCTTCTTAGACCCATAGTTAGTCATTGAAAGATGCAGCAAAACATGCTGTGCAGATGGCTGCAGCCCTTGGGTCAAAATTTCAGTAGCACAGTGGTGAGCTTTGGATACAAATTGTAGGATTAGCGGACAGTAGGAAGAGTTTGCAGAAAGGTTTTCTGCCATGTGGGGCAGAGGCTGAATTTTTATTGGAGCCTGGACAGCCTAGAGATAAAAGAAGAGAAAAAATTACTATTTAACAATGGGAGGGATTAGCCCACATAACTGTCAACTGAAGAGTATTTGCCCAGATTACATTAGCACAGAGATCAATCTTGAAATGCTTTCTTACAGCATTTTGTTCTGCAGTCATTACAGCAGTTGGTAAAAGCTATTTCAATGGTGAACATGGCAAAGGAATCAGGAGCATACTTCTCTGGGACTCCAGGAATCTGACACTTTCCCGCACTGAAATTAAACACACAATTAGTTAAAACAAGACAGAGATCCTAGGTGGACAGTACTATAAGCTATCTTTAGACACGCCAAAACCAGCCCTCGCTCACCAGCTGCTACCACTCTGGCATCCTCATGCGCATAATGCCTTCCTGCTGCCCGGCTGTCTGGATTCTCATTCCACCACATAACGTGAACTAAGGAAACAAGAATGAGAGAGACTGATTCCTGAAGGCCCTCTCTATTGTTCTGGAATCCTGCACCAATTCACAAGACAAGCAGACTAGTAGACAATCCTTCTGCATACTTTTTGTCAGCTCATTTCATTGCATTTGAAAATCTCTCTCTCAGCACCCAAGTTTTTAAGGGCTTTAGATATTGTGTAAAACTGAATTCAGGGACACAGCTTTGCTCTGGAATCATAAAAAAAAAAGACAATGACCAGGCAACCACTGCATATGGCCACTGACAGTTTGAGAGGGCTCTATCAATCTGGAAACAAGCTCTGGCCATATTCTTGTTTGCATAAATACATCTTCTTTAAAATTTCAGGTCTTAGTTCTGTGACATGCATATTGCATTTCAATTCCCCACAGCACCCTGGTTCAAGGTGCATGTGCAGTAGCAAGAACTCCCTATTGGTATGATTTCAGTGCTCAGTACCTGTATCTTGGATATTGGCTCTGGACAAGCATAGTCAGAGACAGACCCAAGTGGTTCTAAATATGTTAAAGCCACATAATGGGCCCCAGACCCAAAATTCAAACTCCAAAGCTGTGGCTGTACAAAAATAGGAGTTCAAATAATTTTACCAACTTTCCTCCTGCTTACCTGGATCACGGAGCCATGCTGCCTTAGGTGAGAACAGGTTTTGAGGGGGGATGGTAGTGAGGGGTAGCTGACAACAGACCTATGTAAGATGAGCTCTATGCCCTACAAGGACATACAGGTCCACATTCTTCCCCTACCAGACAACCCACATTAGGTAAGAATGCAGGGAAAGTGTTTGCCTCTCTGTGCCCTTGTCTGTATTGGAAGCTGTCTAATGCTGTACCTGTATTCAGTAGCCCATATTCTGTGTGGAAAACACCGATCAGCTTAGTGTAGCCTGTATTGATGTGAGCACTGATAGCAGTTTTAAATGCCTGGCCCCACACAGCTGGTCCACCAGGTTTCATCTGGAATGTAACCATCTCGTATACCCCTGGCAGAAAAATACAAAAAAGAAATGCAAAATGAATACTCTGATTCTCCACGTTGGAGGGCTCTTGTCACAGCCACATTTACTACAATTCACTTAGAACAAAGATGTCAAATTCATCTGGCCCCATGGGCTACATGAGGGGAGCACAGCTGGTCTGTATGCCAGACTGGGCCTAGACCAGCACTATGTGTTGGATCCTGTGTGCAGGGCTGATTTGGTGCATGTGCCGCATGCAGTGCCAGTCGTGGCCCCACACACTGCATGCAGCATGTGCCAGCCCCAGACCTGTGCGTGGCACATGGCAAGTTCCAGGGCACGTACTGTATATGATGTATGGGGCTGGTCTGGAACGTGCATTGCCTGTGGCACCCGTGCTGGACTGCTCCTGCACACTGGATCCGGCAAGCAGGGCCTGTCTGTGGGTCCAATCTGGACTGGCCCAGATCCAGTGCACAGGGCTGGCCCAATGCAGGTTTCACATATAGTGCATGCCCCAGACTGTTCCCGTGCAACATGTGCTGACCTGAGCCCTGTGCAACACATGGGGTTGGTCCAAGGTGTCACATGTGGTGCCTATGCAATACAAGCCCTGTAAGCTGGATCCAGCACGCACAACTAGTCTGCAAGCCCAATCCAGACAGGCCTGAGATCCAGCATACAGGGCTGGTCTGGCACAGGTTCTGCATGCAGAGCATG